CCTTAAGGGCTGCACAACGCATTGAACAGAAAAAAAAAAAAAAAAAAAAAAAAAAAAAAAAAAAACTACAAAATTCAAGAACGCGTATGAAGCTAATTTGTCGTTATGAGTGGTCACACAGATCAATACGGACGATTTGACTTGTCTGATATGCAAAAGAAATTTGTCATTTTGTGTCATCGCGATAATATTATTAATTTTATAAATCACATCTTATTGAATCAAAACTTGGAGACGTCAAAGTTAAGTCCTCCAACAAGGAAGAACGCGACAACAAACAGTTCTCGCAATAAACATGTGCAATCGTCTCATTATTAGTCTGTGTGTTATCTGCTTGATAAGCGAAAATGATAAACTGACAAAATGACAAATCGACACACACACGGTCTTTTTTTTTTTTTTTTTTTTTTTATGGCAAGGAGACAAAAGCAGCCCTGAGGAAAAGTAGCCAAGGATTGATCTATTAGAGGATTATAGGGGAATGTATTTGCGTACAAATACTTTGAGTTTTTATACACATATACTCTTACTTACTAATTTTGTTCTCGGGCCATGAAAGGCATTATTTGATGCCTCTAAGCTCTGAAATCACAACAACCACCATTTCATGATTCAAATGCATCAAGTTGTTCCGCATTACAGTCCGTAGTTTGGTACAAAACTCCCAAAGATTACTCTTTGCGCAAAAACAAACTTTGTGTGGTATGATGAAGTTTTCTTTTCTTTTCTTTTTACGTCTCGACGCGATTAACTCTCGATTTTTTCTCACGTTACACCTTTGTGGAATAAATTTTTCGCAGCAATTTTGTTTATCTTAACAATCTGTCTTTGAAAGATCACGAGCCAATACTCAGGTCAGAGAGAGAGAGAGAGAGAGATGATACAAAATTCTCTAGAAACAAAAATAAACAAATTAGACAGAAATTTCTCTTATTCGCATGCGAATCTTTTTGTATTCCGAGAGAGAAAAATGGTCAAAATACAAAATTTGCGAAGGGATTGGAAAGAGAAACCTCGTATAAAAATCTCGTTTCTCTTTAGACTTCGTGAGTTTTTTTTTTGTTCGAATACAAAATTCACATATAGTGCAAAACGGTGCCAATCCAAAATGTGATGTGTCTTATGAGTGATGCATGAGTGATTGGTACCGAATCTACGGACTACTGGTGTGAATAAATGCACTATGTATATATAAAATAATATGTAAGCGCATCTTGAATAATTCATGAGTAACACTATGTGTGTGTAATTGCATGCATTTGTTTCTCCAAGTGTTAACTATTGTTGTTCCAATTTTCATAGAAAATGCACAGCAGCTTGTTGTTACCGTTAGAACTGTATTCTTATTTGGAACAAAAAAAATGTGCACCGAGGCTTTAAACAATGTCAAATAACGTTAATTACATATTTCTTTTTTTTTTTTCTTTATACATATATAAACAAGATGTTCGTTAGACGTTTATCTCTTCTTCCAAAATAAAAAAAACTGACAAACAAAAGTTTCACTTGCTCCCTCGGCGAATATGACACAAGATATATAATAAATAACAAAAAAAGAGAAAAAATAAAATTAAAAATCCGTCACACTCTGGTCTACGTGTGCGAGAGAAATCTGTCCGAAAATATGTTTCTTCGCACGCGTAAACACAGCAGGCGGCTCTTAAAAAAAAACCAACGCCCATTCATTTGAAGAAAGACATGTCAATTAAAACGACATGTGTCCAATTACATAACAACCACATGTGGTCACAAGACTCGCAAGGGCTGGGCGAGACACAATTTACATACAGAAGAAAAACCCAGGTGAGAGAGGAAACCGATAAGAGAGACCGATGGACAGACAAAAATAGGGAACGGGGAAGGAGAAGTAGGGAGAAGAAAGGGGAGGGAGAGTGAGAGAGAAGGAGAAAGAACGAAAAGAAATATAAATATATAACAGAGAAAGAAGAAAAAAACAATTATAGCAAAATTTCCCCTGTCTATAACCCGGGCGGAATGACAATTGACAGACGGGAGCGCGTTTACACGCGTTTTTCGCGGACTCCGTTAAGCTCGTCGTTAGACTCGATCGCAATAACGGCGGCAAATACGACACTCGTGGCATACAGCTGTCAAATTAGCCGTAAAACGTTGCCGCGAGAACTTGAGACAGTTCGAATTTTTACGTCACGTTCGAGGGCGCGATGCAATTTACCTTTGTAATGGACGCCGGATCGGTGACCGGGCCGTCGGCGAGCATATTTCTCGTCTCTTTTCCGGACAACGTACTGTTCGCTCCATCCCCGCTGTCGGCCATTTTTCGAATGCACGTTCTGTGCAACGCTGCTGTGCGTGCGTGCACGTCCGTCGTGAAATGTTCCGATCGGCCGCCAGGAGTCAGGCGCGCTGACTTGACTAAACTTAGAAGCGGCCAATCGCAATTGAGTAATCTCGATCAGTCACCTGTCACTCGGCGACCCGAAATGCGATTGGCCCGCGACGCTCGGCCAAAGCACAGCTCTAACCTCCTCCTCTCGAGGACTAACCTTTTGGCGTTATAATTACCAGACAAATTATAGTGTACTTATTTTTCGAATCGCTTCCGGAACGATTTAATGACGTCATTTTGATTAAGTGAAGCAATTTGATTGGTCGGCTCGCAAACCGCTCGAAAACGCTAATTAGTTTGAGCGCGAGAGCACGTGCAAGGGAAGAATGAGAACGATGTTTGTCGCAAGGTAAACTTTAAGCGCAACTACGTTTATTGACGATTGCGTGGGTGTTCGTTTTTTGCTCGTTTATTTAAAAAAAAAAAAAAAACAAACAATCAATTGAATATCGCGAGAAATGTATCTCCCTTTAAATGTGATTTTTTCTACAAGATTCTAATTTTTAAAAATTCTGTCTCTCTCTCTATGTCTCTTCCTTTTTAGCGCATCTCGCTGAGATTCTCAGAAGTTCAAGAAAAACCTGAAACTTTTGGAGAGAAGTACTTCCGCACGAAAAAAAAAAAACATCAACGAACGGCTCAAAGCAATCTCGTTGTTAATTTATCTCCGCTGTTGGTTTTCCTTTTTGTTTTTTTTTTTTTGTTTTTGTGGAAAACAACACACAAGTTTTTTTCGCGCTGCGAATTTTCGCGGCGCGCGTTCCGCGAGCGGCGATTACTGCCCGGGTGAAAAACATCGACCGCCGCCGTCGATGCGTGCCCACCCAGCAAAGATGGCTCCTCCACGGGGCGACATTCGGTGTTTGACGTGAAGTTATTTACAACACCTGGGGATCTCGCGCCGTTCACGAGATTGGTGTCAGTCGTCAGATCGTCGATGCGCCGTGGTGCCCGCGTGTGAGATTAAGCGCGTCGTCCCGGCGGTTCCTCATCAATTCAACGTCAACGTCGCGCGTCGCGACGTCGTTGTCGTCGTTGTCGTCGCGCCGCGCCGCGCCGNATTTATCCTCCGCACGTCGTGCCGCGCCGCGCCGCGCCGCGCTGCGCCGAACCGAGCGGAGCCGAGAACGTCCCAGGACGAGAGACCGGCGCTGGAGAAAGAGAACCGGATCAACCGCCAAACAGGAAACCCTTGGTTGCGACATTGGATTTTGACGATCGACAACGAGAGAGAGAGAGAGAGAGAAAGATCGTGTGCGAGATCGGGTGATCCGAGGAGAGACGGCTGTGTTGCGCTTCCCCCTTTACTCAGGTAGTCCATCTCACCCCCGTGTTTTACGTCCGACGACGGCGACGATCCTTTCGTTTTCTCTTCCGTCCTCTCTAATTTTGCACACACCACCGAAATCTCGTGGCCGACGACGACGACGTCGGTTACGGGACAGTGCATATCGATCTAAGCGGCTGTCACGTCGGAGCACCGAGAAACGCGTCTCCATGAGGAGGTGTTTGATCTCGCGCTCAAACACTTTTCGCTTTATTTTTCTTTTTCCCTTTCCAAAAAACCATCACCCGAAGGTGTTACGCGGTCTATTTTTTATTTTTTTTCATCGAAGGAAGTTGCAATTAAATTCAACAGATTGTAAGATCGTATTTTTAAGTAGGCATTTAAGTACTTCGGTTTTTTTTCTATTTATTGCCGTCTGAGTGTATCTCGAGATACGGTATCTACTCGTGCGATTAAAATTAAGAAACGAAATTTTGCAATTTTTTTTACAGCGTCGCCCGACGACGTTCGCACATTTTTATCTGACCTTGTACCTTCTGCACTCTCCTTCACCTTTCGCCTATCTTTTCCTCGCGAGTATAAAAAAAGAAAAAAAAAACGATTACGTTACTCGGATTTAAGTGCGGAAGATTTATGTGTACTCGCGTTCGATTGTCACATCATCTTCGACGATGTTGTTTTCTTTAAATTTCCCCGGAACACACGCGATTATTTCAATCCGCGAATTCGTTTGAGTGTAAAAAAAGAGAAGCTTCGCTTAACGTGCGAACGCATTCGGAAATTTATACGGAAAATCTGCGCCAATCTGTGTTGTTTCCCGCAACCGAAAAAAGAAAAAAAAAAATCCCGGAATCTTCGTCGCGATCAAGTCCAAAAATATACGCACGATGCAGCGATGCGATAATCGCGCGCGCGCGTGTGTGTGTGTGTGTGTGTGTGTTAGAACGCAATCTAATCTTTACCGGATATTATTTTGCTCTAACAACAAAATTTTCGTCGCTCGTAAGAGTCCGACACACACCGAGAATTGCGATACACACCGATTGCAATCTCGCTTTTATTATCGATCTCGCGAGGGATTGAATTTATTCGCGCGGGGAGAGACGCGCGAAGTTTTCTCGCGAAAATTCCATAATTTGCAAGTTAATTAAGCGAAGTTTGTTTGTTGTGAATGGCTCCTTAGTGTGTGAACGCGTGAATCATAGTTGTATTTTAAGAGACACATGGTGTGCGGTGCGAGAGTTGCGGGATAAGAATGTCAACGTGGAGAAGCGTGTGAAATATTGTGTGTGTGTGAACACCATAGATTTTGTTTTGTGCGCGCAATTGTTTATTATAATTGACAGCATCGCAAACAATTTGACAAATTTACATACCACTGCACACGCGTTTTCTTTTCTTTTCCAGATACGCAGTGCCATTCCAAAGAACCATTGCTCACAGCTGTGCTAAACTATAAATGCTATGATTAATTAAAAAAAAATAGTGTATAAGCTCCCGCGTTTCAAGCTCCGTGGTATTTATATATTTCACACAAACAATAACGTAACGATTATATAAAAATCGCGTCTCTATTACCCCGTTAAAGAACTTTTCTTGAGTAGAGTTGTACGAGAGAGAGATAATTTGGAGAGAAAACAAAAAAAAATATCGACTATATATATACATAAACATATGAAAAAAAAAAATATTTATATATGACATTTGTCAATATATATGTTTCAATGCAACCAAGCGAATTGTGATTAAAACTCGTGAGAAATGTTACCAAAGGGAGGTCACGTCAATTTTGTACGCAAAGCTCTAGATCTAAAATAATGACCAATAGTGTGAAAAAGGACGGAACCAAACTGTTTGCACATTTTCTCGTGGCTATGTCCTGAGTGACGCTGGCAAACAAAATCCAAGAGACAGAAGTTCGATTTAACATTTGTTTACAAAACGATATATATATACATTGATTAACATTGAACATGGCGAGAAAAAGTGACAACGCGAAGAGCATAAACGTGGCGGTGGTCGGGCTGTCTGGCACGGAAAAGGACAAGGGACAGGTCGGCGTTGGCAAGTCGTGTCTGTGCAATCGCTTCATGCGTTCCATGAGCGACGACTACAACGTTGAACACATCTCGGTGTTGTCGCAGGTATCCTCCTGTTGTTTGTTTTTTTTTTTCTTACACATTGATTTGTTTTTTCTTCTTGATTAATGATTTCAATGCGCGTGTCGAAAATGCGTGTGTGATTGCAGTCTGACTTCAGCGGACGCGTGGTGAACAACGATCACTTTTTGTATTGGGGCGAGGTGATGAAAACGGCGGAGGACGGGACGGAGTTTCAATTTCAAGTAATAGAGCACACGGAGTTCATCGACGACGCGTCGTTTCAGCCGTTCAAAGGCGGCAAGATGGAACCGTACGCGAAGAGATGCGCGGCCACGAAGATAACGAGCGCGGAAAAGCTCATGTACATTTGCAAGAATCAGTTGGGAATAGAGAAGGAATACGAGCAGAAGGTTCTGCCCGACGGTAAACTTAATATCGACGGATTTCTATGCGTGTTCGATGTGAGTCTTGTGCCAAACAGGGCGATAGAGAAGCAAGTTGAGATTGTGGCGAATATCTTGAACAATTTGATGAAGGCGAAGAAACCGATCGTGCTGGTGACGACGAAGAACGACGACGCGAACGAACAGTTCGTCAAGGAGGCGGAGAAACTGGTGATGCGCAAGGAGTACAAGGGTTCGATTTTGATAATCGAAACCTCGGCGCACGAGAACATCAACGTCGATATGGCTTTTCTAATTCTGGCGCAATTGATCGACAAGACGAAAATGCGCAGCAAAGTAATACCGTTCGCGGAAGCGGCTAGGACGAGGAAGGAGTTGTTGGACGCGTCGACGGAATCGTTGCAGAGATTGATTCGAATACACGTGACCGATTATCGCGCTTTGTGGTCGCAAGCCTCGAAGAAGCTCTCGCAGCTCAAGGAGTTCAACACTTTTGTGGAGCTGTTTGGCATTGAGGCGACACAGAGATTGTTTAGGAGACACATCAAGAAACTGAAGGACGAACAAATAGCAAAAAAGATTCAGGGCTACTTGGATATGCTGCCAGATATACTTCACGAGATTTGCCCCGATATATCGAATTTAATTAACGAGTAAGTTTTAACGCGCCGGTAGTTCGTTTGTTTTTTGGACTTCTCGTGGATTTTGTTTTTTGTTGCGAATCGACTAAACGCGATGACGCTTTGCAGAGAATGGTCGACGGTACAACATTACATAAAGGAGCATCCGGACTTTGACCAATATTTTTACGAGTGTCCCGAGGATATTCCGTGGATTGATTGTGACTTTGGCGAGAACAACGGCACGAAAATTCCTTACGACGTGCTGGAGACTCCTGAGGCGGAGACTGTATTTAAGAATCACATAAACGCTTTAGAACAAGAACAACGACGATTAGAGTGAGTACTCCTGAACGCAAGCTTTAATAACAAATAATTACATTGCAGAAATGAGCTTATTTGTTCGCAAAGAAACGATAGACTTAGCAGTGAACTTGAATCGCGATAATTGTTTATTTCGATTCTAAAAAAAAAGATAATTTTTTACATGCAATTCACTAATGCTTTGCTTTATTCTGGGTGGTGTTTCTTTGCGCAGACTTCCGAAAAGGTAATGTGTTTTTCTTACACTTTGCTTCTATTTGTGTAGGATAAACCGTAAATATTGGAAGTAACAGTTTTTTTTTTATTAATATTCTTTGATAACATTTATACTATATCAATGGTATGCGTGTGTGCATGTGTGTGTGTTCATAAATCAGTAGATTTGAAGTTGCAAATAAAGCGCGCTTGCGAAAATAACATTTTATTGAATCTCTTTTTGTTATTGAAAATTAAAATGTAATAAAATGTTTTTATTACATCAGTGTATTGCGATATATATTGTAGTAAATTATTATTCTTTATAAATATAACATTGTTGTGTTTTTAATAATGCAATATTTAATAAACGTTAGGAAATATTATATTTCTCTGTATTTTATGTTAAATTGTGAAAAGAATTGCGCGTTGAAATATTCTAATTGTTTATTCTAATCGTAATGAATTTCTACCAGGTGGAAGAAGCAATTTAAGCAATTATTAGAGGAAACGGGTTACGTTACACCTGGAAAGCATCTGTCTGAGGTTAGAGTTTTATTCATGGGCAGGGAGTGCTTCGAGGAACTTTCTCATCACGATTGCCAAGAAATTTATGATCAACATCAGAAGGAAATTATTGAAAAAGCAAAACACAATTTTCAAGTACGTCAAAAGTTTTCTCGTGGACATCTTGTTGACATCTTGTCATCACTTCAAGAATTGATTGCGTAATATAATAAGCATCGCGTTACAGGAATTGCTGTTGGAACACGCCGATCTATTTTATCACTTTAAGAGCATAGCTCCATCTGGGACAATTACACAAGACGACATAAAAGAAATCACAGACGCGTTACTAGATGATTTCAGGTACGTACAGAGAGACTGGATTGTATATTTTAAACGTATATAAAAACTACAACTTGTATAACTTCTCCATTTCTAGATACAAAGCGTTAGACAGGTTGGATCAAGACAGAAAGCTGATGCTTTTCCAGCATTTGGGATTCGTGCATTGTCCCATAAGAGAGCACTGTCCCGCTTATCCAAATTGCATGGATGCGCTTATAGAAAGGATACTCGGAACGAAAGCCCACAGGTAAGAAGATTATCATCATCATCGTCATCATTACGTCAAACGAAATTTTATACATTTATAGTGTGTGTGGAAATATTTTATTATAACACAAATCTGAAAACGTTCTAACAGACCTTCCTCGTGGAATCACAGTAGTCAGTGGCAGTTAACGTCGGATAACAATCAATTGAATTTAGTCATACTCGGATGTAACGGACTGAGCGAGGAATTCGCTCGTGAAATAAGAGCACAAACCGAGGACGACGAGGTGGAAATAGATTGTCAGCTTTACACCCTCGGATATCGCATCATAGACGGCGACGTCGGGTTGCCGCACAATTCCTTCACTACCTCGGATTTTATGCCACATGGTGGGTGGTTTTTCTTAAATTTTCTTTTTAACTTGTGTTTTTTTTTTTTTTTTTTTTTTTGTGCAAGAAGTTATTAGCAATCGACATTTCTTCTCCTCAGGCTCATTTTGTATCTACTCGAATGAAGATTCATTTGAATACATTCGATCGTCTTTGGAGAAAACCTTGTTATCGAATCTCGAGCAAGAAGACAGATTGCCATTTCAAGGATTGCCTATTGTAATAATGTTTGTGCCAGAAGCAGGTATCGACGAGATCGAAGCCATTAAGCTCAGGGAAGAGGGACAAAATCTCGCTGACAGGTTGGTAAATCTAATATATATTGAATCATGAATTTGTACGTTTGTCAAAATCATGATAATAATAATCGCGTAATAACGTTTTCGCGCAGTTTGCAGTGTCCGTTTATTGACGTCTCTATAGACGATCTGGAACAAGAGAAGCACAAGAGATTCCCGACTTCGTTGGTGAAGGACGCTCTACAACAACTTATACAATCTATAAATCATAGAGCTGGCTTTTTAAATATTTATCAAAGCGTCATCGAATGTTTGGAGCCTGATATTAGGTAAAAGCCATCAGTCGCAATAACTTGCAATTAAGTTAATTTTTGTTAATTAATTTCTTGGATTTGTGCGATTTCAGAATAATAATGTGTATGTTCTGTGGCGATCCCTATTCGGTTGAGAACGTTCTCGGTCCTTTACTTAATCACCAGTGCTGCTTTCTGAGCGGAGATAGGTCTATAGTTTTAGAAACATTTTTGGGAGAGTGTAAACGTCGAGTCGAGGTCATTATTTCGAGTTTCCACGGAGCGAATGCGTTTAGGGACGAATTAGTGCACGGCTTTATACTCGTCTACTCCACGAAGAGAAAAGCATCTCTTGCTACTCTGAAGTAATCAATGATTTTTTTACATATCGGACAATTTTTTTTAATCAATTATATTTCACGAGTTATCTCTACGTGCGCGCGTTTGTTTTCTCTTTTCTCAGTGCCTTTTCTACGAACATACCAAATCTACCGATACAAATAATGGCTGTGACCGATACCGGAGGCGCGAACGCTTTCTTCAGTAACGATTTGAGTCATCTGCTTATCACAGAGGGAAATGCCATCGCGGACAAATTGGAAGCGCATTTTATGACGTCCGCGTCTAGTTGTCAGCAAAAAAGTAAGATTATCAATTGTACATTTTGGGGAGTCTCAAAAGCAGAGTATCGACAATGCGCAACGAAGAAGAGTACCAATTTTCTCTGATTCTGAAACATATTTTCCAGCTGCATTTTATACGCCCTTTTTCAAAGTGGTGTGGGAGAAAAAACCGGAGATCGAACAGGCGTTTAACATGGAGGAACCGGGAAATTTGAATGACAGTGGCGAAGGCACCTTGGAGTATTCGGCCTTGCACCCGATGCCACCGCCCCGACATGAGAGCTATCATCTTCAAACGCCGGACGATGGGTAACTATTCTAAAAACGACTTTCTAGCACTGAAGCGAACAAACTTCTCTAACGTCTCGATTTCTTTGTGACCCAAAAGTCTAACGTGAAGCAGTATGTCTGTAACTTTTAGAAGCGGCTCCGAGTCGTACGAGCAATTGACACCCGACGGTGATCTGGGCGACACTGGCATGACCGAGCAATTCGCCGATCACAGAGCTACGCCGAGCGACGACAGCGACATTTACAGTCAGGTCGATTTTTATCGAGAAGAGAGAGAAAGAGATCTCATGAAAAACGAAGACATCACGACTAAGTTATCTGGTTGGTAAAAAGCAAGAACTGATTAACCGCTCAGTAACTTTTCGAGATTTTGTTCGTGAAATCTTTTTTCTTTTTTTTTGTTTGCACAGGTTGGGTAAAGGACACGTTCATGCATCAGGACGGAGTTACCAACAATTATTCGCACAGAGCGTTCACGACGGGTCGACGATACATTTCCCAGCCTAAACCGCGACCGAAGGGAAGCAGTCAGACCTTGAAACAGCCCGGAAAGATCAATTTGAAAGAATTTTCCAATGTGACAGACGCGATAGCCCGAATGACGATTGGCGAGAAGGATGAGCACGGTCCGAAACTCATGGGTCACGCTCCTCTGGCCACACCGGAACTGGTGGACCTCGGTTCCGAATACGCGCAAGTCAAGGACGTTGTTCCGAGCATGTACTCGTACGACGGTGACTACATGTACGCCTTGGTGCAGGATTCCATCAGCAACAACAAGTCCAAATTGCGTCACCGACGCGAAAAAGGACAGCCGTGTAAGATATTTAGTCCAAGATAGTTGTTTTTTTTTACTTTAAATTTTATTTAACATATATGTTTATATAATTGATTTGTGTGATATGATACTATATCAAACAGCGTACAGCGATTCCGACTCGGAATGGAGTTCCTTGGAAAGACAAAGAGCGACTGACGTGTTGAGCAAAGGGAATAAGAAACCTTCGTCACACAAACGAATACGCAAGAAACGCACCGCGATACCGGTCGCCACGCCCAAAGTGCCGTCATTGGCCAGCATGGGAAGTGGGGACGGTATAGTCGGTTTGAACTATAACATAAAGGACGATAAGAACTGGCGTGTTGATCTAGCGGACAGAGGTAGATAATGTTGTCCTTTAAAAAATCTGTCGTTTTAAATATTTTGTTAGCGAGTAATTTTTAGTATTTTTAGTTTCTTTTTTTTTTTTTTTTTTTCATATGAGCATGTATTTACTTTTAGTGTCTAGCGAAACACCCGATTCTTCCGAATCGAGCGATCCGGAACACACTTCGAAATCGAGATCGAAACAATACAAATACGCTGCCGTTAGTTTGCGAAAAAGATTTTCTGGAAACTCTCTGCAACAGCAATACTTGCAACATCCGTTTAGCGTGAAACACATGACACAGGAGATGTTTAGCGGTTCCTGTAAGTAATCATGTGTAATGAATTTGAAAAGACATTTGTCGTATAAATAAAGCTGCGTTCAGCATGCGCGCATACATATGTTAATTAACATGTGTGCGTGTGTATCTCTTCTTATGACGTAACAAATCGTTTGTAAATAATTTTCTTCTGGAAGTTGTGTATATCTCTGAATATTCTCTTTTTTCGCGCGTATTTTTGCCCCTAAAAGTAAATTAAAGAACAAATGGAAAAATAAATGAAATATATGTAATTATATTTGTGCAAACTAAATTTTTAATGTGTTATGTGCATGTGTTGATTAAAGAATTTTTTATATAACTTGCATTGAAGCTTCTTAATCAAATGAAAGCTCTTGCTATTTTTATATGAGTTTATTGATCATTTTTTTTTCTATTAAGTTGCGGTACATCTGTGCTTTCTTTATAACTTTGCATGAACTATTGTTATTTTAGCCAAGCAAAGGGGTGAAAATACATTTGGCATTCCAGATGATGAATCAAGCTTAGATGTTTCATCACCACGTGAAATCAATTCTCCTAGTGTAAGTTCCTCACTCATGTGATACGAGCGAATATTGTGCGAGATTGTGCGTGAAAATTAAATTTGTTGTCTCTGTGCTCTCCTTAGTTCGGTATATTGAACAAAAAAGACGGCGATAAATTAACGAGGAAGAAAGACAAGCAAAAAGCGAAGGAGGACGAGAAATTGGAAAAGAGAAGACAAAAGGAGGAAAAACTCAAGAAACACGCCGAGAAGGAAAAGGAGAAGGAGAAGAAGAAACAGGAAAAGATAAAGCAAACTAAGGGCCCGGGAGGAACGCCAGGCTCAAGTCAGTCGCAACCTTTGATTGAGGATTTCGCGCAGAGCGAAACGAATCGGATACCTTTATTCCTCGAGAAGTGCGTGCGGTTTATCGAAGAAGAGGGGCTGGACTCAGAAGGGATTTACAGAGTGCCGGGTAATCGCGCGCATGTCGACCTGCTTTTTCAAAAATTCGAAGAAGGTAACGTGTGTCTTTTTTGCAAAAAACTTATATATTTTAATTCTCGTCATTTCACTTTTTCTAACGCTAACGTTTTCTGCGCTGACACGCAGACGGTAATGTTGACATACGTTCTCTGGACATTCCTGTAAATGCTGTCGCTACAGCCTTGAAAGATTTCTTTTCCAAGAGGCTACCGCCGCTTATCGACAAAGAACGTATGAGCGAACTTGAAGATATATCAGGTAAATTAAAACAAACGTGTACAAATTTCTTAGAGTCATGGGCATTTTTTGTTTGTTTTTTTTTTAACAATTGTTACTAAATTTTGTTTTGTTGTTGTCATGTTTCTGTGAATATATTATTATTTATTTTCATATCAGGTGCACGAGGTATTAGCAAACCTATGTCAGCTACTTGCATGAATATGGAAGGTCAGTGTTCTCTCTCTCTTTTGTTTTTATTTCACATTACATGCATAAAACGTCAAATAACACTAAATTTAAATAATTGCAGACCGAAGCGGTAGATTGTTAGCTCTGCGCTTAATGCTCAACAAATTAAATCCCGTGAATTTCGATGTTCTTAAGTTTATCTTTCAACACTTCGTGAAGTAAGCTCATAACAAAATAATATTTCTCAAATTTAACTGTTTCTTCTCACACATATTTTTATATTAAATTTCCTATGATTTAGGGTTGCGGAGAATTGCAAACTCAACAGCATGGACAGCAAAAATCTAGCTATCTGTTGGTGGCCTACGTTATTACCGATTGAATTTAACGATCTTGGTCGATTCGAGGCTATGAGGCCGTATCTGGAAGACGTGGTTCAGACAATGATCGATCAATATCCTTTCCTGTTCTGCGGTGAGGACGCCGTTGTGATGGTGTAGTGACGGAACACGCTGTCGTGCGAAGTGCGTGGCGGTCTCAGCGGCTGTGCGACGAGGGAGGAGGGAGCACAGCTTTTGCGGAACAAAAGCGGTAGGAGTGGCGCGTTGTCGACATCTCGCAATATCATGTCAGGCTATAATTCGGTATGGAATTTTTTTTTATGTACATCCGGTTGGACGCGAACAATTGGTCTCACTATATATATATATATAGTTTACATTAATAATAAAACTTCGCTTTAGCGCACTTTCTCGTAATTACGACTTAACGTAGATTATTCTGCGCAAGATGAAACGACCTTAACAAACCGAACAAAGCGTTTATTTAAGTCCTCGTCTCATTCAGGTTGATTATTTTTTTGAAAAACGCGTGTGAGACATAAGAGCAAGACGTTTCTCTGCTGAATGATCGCTCGATCGACGGTCCTAAGATGTGTTTGTTTCGCACGTGCGGATCAGATAATAATGCAAGAGTTAGTAAGCATTAATGTGTCATAACAGTATGCATGTTGAATGTATCCAGAGCGATGTATTTATTGATATTGTGTTTAGGGATACGTATAAGAGATTCGCGCGTTCGCGCGCGATGATTCGATAATAGCGATTAGCTTTATCTAGGATAAGAAAGTAAGTATCGATGTTACTTTGTTTTTCGCTTCTTTTTCGCCCTCCCTCCCGGATTTTCTTTCCGTTCTCTCTTTCTGTGTCTTATTATCCGCATCCACACAAAGGACGAAGGTGCTGAAAAATAATTTTTTTATTTACGTACGGTCTCGTTAAAGAGATCCATATTAGTGTAATCTATAAAGAAGGGGATTTTATATAGTCCACACACGTATTTATGAAAAAAGAAAAAAAAAACGAAACGTGTAACGAACATAATTACGTCGCATAATATCTATATACGTTAAAAAAAAAAAAAAAAAAATAGCAACGATATCAAAAAGATTTTTCCTCAACTTCGGTAGCTGCTGACGCACGCGATCATCCGCCTGTCTCTCTCGAGAATGTAATTATTTAATTTCGCATATCTCGGTGTAGATTTATCTTGCGGAAGGTTTTAAATATAAATTTTACGAGAGAGAGATCGTTCCCACGATCTCTCTCTCTCTCTCTCTCTCTATCGTAATTATTACCGATTTTATCATAGCAGGGTCTGAAGGAGCGAGCTCAAACGACGATTCGTACATATATATTTATTCCGTCTAAAGGGACACGAGAGACAATTGAAGAAAAAAAAAACGCAAGTAACATAATTATTAATATTGCACAACGTCTCGACAAATAGCGGTTAATAAGCGAGAGAGAAAAAAAAACAAACAATTGACGATAGGCGTATAAAAGAGAGAACGCAAATTCAAAGCAAAGATTCACGCACACAAATACGCATAAAGAGAGTTTCGAATCGCGAAACCCCGCATTACCGCATTAAGAAGTATTTAGAAACTGCGAACAATATTAAGATTTTTTAAAGTAAATGTGTATATAAAAATTAACAAAAAAAAAAAAAAATTTAACGATTTAAAAAATACGTAGTTTGTAACGCGAGAGAGAAAAATTCATAGGGACTTTTTCAAAAGATGAAAAAAAAAAAAAAAAAAAAAAAGACCGTTTTACGCAAGAATTCTGACGTTTTTGTTTTGTATTTTTTACAAAACGCAAAAAGTGATCGATTCGATGTCACGCTTCGAGTTTTAGAGCGCCGTTTCGGTTCTCGCAACAGGAAAAGGAGAACGTGCGTTTAATTTCGTTTATATAATACGCACAGCATAAAAGCCACCACAGTTCATCTCTTTAAGTCGTCGTTTAAGTTTACAAACAAGCGCTTCGAATTCGCACAAAAAATCATGAAATAAAGTAGAACCGTTTTTTTGTAGGTGTGCCATAACGTAATTCAGTGTTAAATGATCGTAATGCCTTTCGGTGGCTCAACATTCGAAAGTAAACAAGCGCGTCTCAATGTCACCACCGGTGGTAACATTCGCGATCGTGGTGAGTTGCCGAGAGATAAACTTGATATCGCCTCTAAGTGTCAGAGCCAATATGAAATAAGTGAAAAAAAAAAAAAAAAAAAAAAAGAAAGAAGCGACATCACACTTTTGTAACCCGAAGATTAACTGCAAGCATTCCCGTAAAGAATTATATATATAAATAAATATATATATATATATATATCGATGTTATTTTGATTTCGCGAGGAGCGCGCGTTTTCGATCGCATCGAATCCGCGCAATCTCAGATAGATTCTCGAAAGTAAAACAAAACGAAGAAGGGAGTGGGTTACAGATATCTCGCTCGAGACACAAGGAGTCGTCGTGAGAAAACGCGCGTCTCGCGAAAGCTGAATTCTGGTATTTGCAAGGAAATGTAATAACACACAATATTTCTACGATTGACGCATCGCGAAGACAAGAAAAAAAAAAAAAAAAAGAAAAAAAAAGAACGGATCGTACATTCCCATTTAGTCGTAAAAATTAGATTTTATACATTCGTACGTAACGTAATTGTAATAATGTTTCTTAATAAGATGGAAAAGATGTCGATGTTTTACGTGCGGAATTTTGACGCAGCGATGCGAAAGATCTGTTTGGCGACGTGTGAACTCGTGTGTGATGCCGGATGTGATGTCGACGAACTTGAGAACGCTCGCTTAGGACATGTGTTTCATACAAATATTATAAATACACACACACAAACACAAACACACACATTGCACAGGGTGTTTATAGACAAAATAAAAATTCATGTACGTATCGTATGTGTACGTAAAAATATTATTGAGTCAATAGTTCGTTGCAGCTTTTTTAGATCTGACGAATGACATTTGTGATTGACGTTCAGTTTAAAAAAAAAAAACACCTTGTGTGTATGCACTTTTATATTACTTATTTTATCTGTTTTTTTTTTTTTTTTTAATGTATATTTAACTGACAATTGAGTTGCGACACTCTTAAGAATGTATCTCCCACACGTAATGTCCTCCTCAAGACAGAATCTACAATTAAATTTGTAAATTTTATTTTTTATTTAAGCGAACTAATATTGTATCTAATATTGTAAGCAATTGAAGAGTTCAAAGCGAATTGTTCAGATCAACAATCTTGAAATCTTTTGCAAAACTGAGAAAATTAGATTTGATAAAAACATATATTTTCTTTTTTATATTCGTGATTATATTTTTCAACACGCAATTCGCATGAATGCGAATTTAATTTTCTTTCGGATCTCACGCGTACTTGAATATTTTAATCGATCAAGTACCGTCAAGTACATTTTTGTTAGATTGTATTACTTATCATAAGTTTTGTTTTTCAACAAGTAAAATAACGTGTCAATGTGGCGAAACGAATTCTTCATTTGCGGTTTTCCGAATTTTGTTTTCTCGTCGTGAATTCTCGCAAATGTAACTAGTAAGCAATAACGAAGAAACGAATCTAGCGAGTAAGTACTCGAGGAAGTATTCGACGCGCATGAATAATCCGAGCGCGAGATCACCAAACACGTTTACATGATCACGCGCGTCAATCATCATCATCATCATTATTCCCGAAACACGTATCCATCGAACGTCTTCTCTGGAGCCTAAAGGAGATTAAAAAAAAAAAAATCCAAAAAAAAAAAGAAAAAAAAATCACTTTTCTACGATACGTCCGTTAAGGTTTCCGCTTGTCTCTTCTCGCTGTTTGAGGACGGACAGATGGTGACCAACCATCCCGTCGAATAAATAAAATCCTTACATTCGTAGCCTGTGATAAGACGTAGGCGAATGGATCTTGTTTCTCTTTAATTTATGAAGCATCGGCTGATGTACGAATGTATTATAGTTGTACAGTTGCATCGGGATGATGTGTATTATAAAGCGCCCGCTTTCTTTGATGCGTTTGCTCTACCTTTTTTTTTTTTTTTTTCTTTGCGTTTCTTCCTCTCATCATTTGTCATATCAATGTTTCTCGTGAGCTTTCCTCGCACTCGCACACGCACACACACACATTTACACGTACACAAATCTTGATTATTTCTCAAAATACTGTGCGAGCATCCTCAAAAACGTACACGCGATGAATCGTGAAGAAATGTAGGAAACGTTATACGAAAGTATAAATTTTCGATTATTACATTTCTCTATAACTGTTAATTCGTTATCTTAGCGACAAGAGTCTCTTTGTTTGACTGACATACGAAGTGAGATCTCAATTTTTGCGAGTCGAAACCCGGAAAAAAATGGATTAGATCTAACTTAATTGAATTTAACGAGATAAAAAAAAAATGAAAAAATAGATCTAATTAGATCCAAATTAAATCTAAATAGATATAAAGTAGATCTAAATAAATATAAGTAGATCTATGTAAATTTACACTTTTATATGTTATTTAAGTCTATTTTGTAGATCTACTCAGATTTACTTAGATTTAAACAGATCTGAACACAGATCTGTTTAATATGTTATATATTATCTGTTTATATATTATATTAGATCTGAGACGATCTAATATAATATATAACGATCTAAATAATAGATTTGAGTATCAAATACTCAGAGAATCAAAAGTAGATTTAATATAATAAATAAAAGTGTGTAAATTTATACATAGATTTACTCTTACATCTATTTAGATTTATTTTATATTTATTTAGATCTACTTTATATCCATTTAGATTTAATTTAGATCTAATTAGGTCTATTTTTTTCATTTTTTATTTTTATCTCGTTAAATTTTAATTAGATCTAATCCATTTTTTCTCAGGAATATTTAAGCTGATTTCGTCCATAAATGCTAATTTAACCGCACTGCGATATTTTATACCGTCACCTTTTTTGATAACGAAATAAAATACAAGCTAATTTTTAAAACATTATATTTTTGTATTTATTTTCTAATATGCATTTTGTATTTATTTTCTAATATACATACGTATATATGTATTATTTTTTTGTAACTTGAGGTTTTTTATGATAATTCTCTCTCTCTTCGGACTTTTTTATCTCTCCCGCGGCTACTACATTTCTTCATTGGAATGTGAACCTAACTGGCGGCGTGAGTGCTTCGAAAACATGGATTTAATGATGATAGTGAGATGTTTATGTGTCAAGAAATGTGCAAATTAATTAACGAGCCTCGTCAAAAAGAATCGATAACAATATAAAATACGCAATATCTCACAGCACATTTACCACACACTTTTTCAATTAATTCGAGAAAGAACTTTGATGACCAATTTCAAAATAATATGTCGCAAAATATAAATTAAATTATCTTAAACGCTCTTCGTGTGTAATTTTCTTCTCTCTCAATTAAACATTTATCTTGAAAAGAGAAATAAACCACGTGATGCAACTGAAAAAGATTCAGTTGATAATTTGATGTGATTGATTGTGAAGAAATAATATTTACATCCGATCAACAATTGGAACAACGTGTTGCTCGCAAAGTATCGGAGGAAAACTTGTCAAAAACCCGCTTCTCTAGCGCGAATTCGCTGATTCTTCAGAATTTTATTATACGGACGTACTCCCACCCTTGCTCTTACTCTCTCTTTCGCTTCCATTTCCTTTTCTTTACACAAATACGTTCGTCTTTTCTCCCTATAAATTACGCGTTTATGAATGTCGTCGTTTACATAATGTAACAATGTTTGTAAATAATCAGTATATATTAATTATATATAAATATATAAATTATATATATGGCGCGTGTGTGTACGCACGTAACACACACACACACACACACACGTGTATGTTGTGTACGCGTGTACATACGCGCGTATACACGTAAATGGACGGAACCTGTCTTCGTTGTATCGATAATCTTATATCAGACTTGTATATGAACAGAGGGACTTTTGATTATTAAAAGTTTCCTAGATTAAAAAGAACAAACCAACGAATTTTCTCTTTTACCAATACCGTTGTATATAAATTAGAGATTACTGCCACATTTTAGATAAGCCGCGCGCGGATACATACATATATATATATATATATAGAATTATTACTGCCATAAACGACTGCATTTATACAATATACAAAATGTGTATCTCTCTTTCCCAATATATACGTTTGATCGATCTAAAAAAAAAAATATATATATATTACCCCAGAGGTTTTTTAAAAACTTTTTGGCTGTAAAGTATTAAAATAAAACCACGTGTGCGTTTTCAATTGGCAAGCATCTTCACAAGCCGGTGAGTAACCGGCAAAAAGCCGCTTTTGGAGTCCGACAAATATACAACACGCACGAAGTCGCCCACAGCCTTGTGTTCTCCCACCGAAAACACGTTGCCGACCGTCCTGGAAGTACGTATACCTGGTGACTTGAAAGACACGAATGTTAAGCGCAATGAAGAGCGCAACTTTGGGATCTTGCAACAATTTACAGCGATAATTTTTCAGCGTTAATTGATATCGGGTTTCCTCGGTTCTACGCGATGCTTTTGCTCGCCGAACAACTTGGTCATTTAAACGCTTAGCCATTTAAAAAATATGGTTATACTACCTTCGAAGATAAATTCGGCCTTGTCAAGTCTTTTAACTTCAATTTCTAATCTAGATTAAGATCTCGAATAAATTTTTGTCAGAAGAAGATCGATATTAAATAAGCAAGAGTCTCGCTGGCAGAGTCCGTGAGCAAGTTTAGTAAGCCGAACAATTAGATTTATGTTGTGCTAATATACGACAGACGACTTCGGTTATTTTCCGAACACCAAGTAGACCCACGCGCGCTGGTGGGAGACCGATCGACCAATCAGTGTGCGACAACACTTCGCTCCGGTCGCGTCGGATACTGTAAATCGTGTTGTCGGCTGTGAAAGAGCCACGTCCGCGAGATTAAACGGAACGGCGACAGGAAGATCGCGACTGGACTGGAGATAAGGCAGAGTTACTTGTGACCCGCGGAGTGAGATCACGTACCGTCATCGCGAAGATGCTGCGAAGGTGCCTGGTTGTTCTACCGCTGCTTTTGCTCGGTGCTCTCGCCGACGAGAAGGATGTCCTGGAGCTCACAGACAAAACCTTTGACGTCGAGCTCGAGCGTCACGAGAACACCCTCGTCATGTTTTACGCACCATGGTGAGAAAAAAGACCTTCTCCCATGCACAGAGCCTAGCGCTATGGTTGCGCTTATATTGCACTTGCGCGATAAAACGGTTTATTTGGAATTTTGAACATTAAACAAAAAAAAAAAAAGGAGTAACTGCAACGCTATAAATTGTTCGCGAAGCAAGAACAAAAAGTAAGACAAAAATACGTAAGAAACCGGAGCACAGTCTCTTATCACTCTTTTGTGATAAAATCGACTTGTATTAGTTATCGCCAAAAAGCCTCTTATCTTTAGTTTACCGGAATACCGGAGATGATATTTTCAAATCACGAGTTTTTGAGAGATCGCAGTCTTTATTTTCCGAATGAAGAGAATTGCAATAATTTTATTTGAGTTTAATAGAATGTTTATTTTATTGCCAGGTGTGGGCATTGTAAACGCCTGAAACCAGAATATGCCAAGGCGGCAGAGCTGCTCATAGGTAACGATCCACCTATTACACTGGCCAAGGTCGATTGTACAGAATCTGGAAAAGAAACCTGCAACAAGTATTCCGTTAGCGGTTACCCGACACTGAAGATCTTCGAAGGTAATGAGCTGAGGTCTGACTATAATGGTCCAAGAGAGGCACAGGGTATTGTTAAGTACATGAAGGTAATATTCTATATATTTCATGTTTTTGTCAGAAAACAATTCGTGGCACAGCTGTTATTCATGACTGGTTTTTATTTTAGGCTCAAGTAGGACCAGCATCTAAAGAATTAACTAGTGTAGATGCCCACAAGACGTTCTTGGGGGCAGATGATGTTAGTGTAATAGGTTATTTTGAAAAGGATGATTCTCCTTTGGCCGCAGCTTTCCACACAGTCTCTAAAAAACTCAGAGAGAAAGTCAGATTTGCCCACACTTCGTTGAAAGAACTTTTGGACAAGGTGTCCCAGAAGTAAGTATCTTAATGTGATAAAAGAAGACAATATTGATTGTAACATATATTTATGCATATATCTTGTTTCAGAAATGCTATTGTTCTTTACCGACCAAAGATACTTCACAACAAATTCGAGGATAACAGTGTAGTGTACAAAGGTAGCGATTCTATCAGTGACGTGAACGAATTCATCAGTAAGAATTAGTAAGTTTTGATCTTTCTTTTTTCAAATTTCACGATCGACTATCAGAATCACTATATGGTGTTAATTTTGTCTTGCAGTCATGGTATTGCTGGCGTTCGTACTCGCGACAACGCGCAAGACTTCAAGAATCCTCTTGTTGTTGCCTATTACAACGTGGATTACGTGAAGAATGCCAAAGGCACGAATTACTGGCGTAATAGAATCATCAAGGTTGCCAAAGACTTCCCTGAATTCAATTTCGCCGTAGCTTCCAAGGATGACTTCCAACACGAACTGAACGACTTCGGCATTGATTACGCGAAAGGCGACAAGCCGGTTGTTTTAGCTCGAGATGACAAGAACCAGAAGTTTGTTCTCAAAGACTTTTCTCTGGATGAATTTGAAGCGTTCCTGAAGGATCTGCAAGCTGGCACTTTAGAACCGTATCTCAAGTCCGAACCGATTCCGGAGAGCAACACGGGTAACGTGAAGGTTGCGGTAGCCAAGAACTTCGATGAGGTGGTAATTAACAACGGCAAGGATACGTTAATCGAGTTCTACGCGCCGTGGTGCGGTCACTGCAAGAAACTGGCACCAGTATACGACGAGTTGGGCGAGAAGCTGGCCGATGAGGACGTCGATATCGTCAAGATGGACGCTACGGCAAATGACGTCCCGGCTCCGTACGAAGTACGCGGCTTCCCTACTCTTTACTGGGCGCCCAAGGACGCGAAGGACAATCCGGTCAAGTACGAAGGCGGTCGTGAGCTCGAAGACTTCATCAAGTACATCGCCAAGCACGCCACCAATCAGCTCAAGGCCTACGATCGCAGCGGCAGCTCAGTCAAACCCAGAACCGATGAGTTGTAAGATACAGCAAAGTTCGATCCTAGAATTTCTATTATGTAAGACTCAACACAATCTGGGAGTTTTTTCCTCAAGTAATAACAACACACACAAGGATGTGCAGAAGATAAAATATTAAGAGTGCAAATGCAAGGAGAGATGAGGCGTTTTTTTGCAATAATAATAAGTGAAAAGTGAAGAATGTTCGGATGTCTTGGTGGATGTCTTTTTTTAGAGTATAGGATTATCTACATGTATATCATACACTTTGTAATTGATTACAAATACAAGTGAGACGCTGTAATAAAGCGTGCAGAACTGATTTCCTCAATTTTCCGATAATAACAACAACAATATGCTTTCCGCGTGTTTAAGGAATTATTACAGATTATACAGAAAGCAACAACGCTCCATTCCATTTTACGTGTTTCGATTTACCCTAAGAGACAGCAACTTTTGTTTGTACACAAAAAAATAAAAAATAAATTGTTTTATACAAAATTACCCAAGATCGTTCAATTGTTTTCTTTCTCTTTCCTTTCAAGACCTCTAATGGAAACTAAATGGGGATCGTTCTGGTAGCAGAGCCGAGTCGTATCGTATCATAAGAAATGTTTATTGTTAGTTACAATTTAAATGTATACGCGTGTACGTGTGTGTGTGTGTGTGTGTGTCATATCTTTCGTTTAAGTTTAATCGTACAGTCTTACATACAAAAGCTAGAGTTAGAGTTATACAGTTGGTAGAGAAAAGAGCTGTGTGTGAAAAAAACGGATTTTCGAGATCGACGAGATTTCTCTTCTCTGATTGTGAGGAAAAAAATGAGTCACAGACAGGAACCTTCCTTCCTCTTAGATATTTTCGTCGCGTAACAAATATTAGTCGACATTTACTTTTACAGGAGAAGACAATAAATTTGATTCGAGCTTCCTGTTTTAATATGTGAGATGTATGCATACATGCACATGCCACGTACACCATCAAGTTCGTTGAAAAAATAACGCAACTCATTATCGAATACTTATTTATCATGTACGGAGCATGTTCTCTGTGTGTGTGCGTGTGCGTGTGTTTATTTTTTCACGTCCTTGTTTTTATATAATTTTCCGCGTAACAGAACGAGTACGTGTACGTGGTTACATACGTGTGCGAGTGTATATTTTTTTTCAGAGAAAAAAAAACGGGATTTCGAATCTCGATGAGCGCGCGTTTTACCCTCGCATTGCTCGCGAGGACGGTAAGAAGTTTTTTTTTTTTATCATATCATATGTACATGTACAATACCTCTCGAATAACTGATACAAACTTATATATAAATATGTACGTGTCTATATATACATATATACGCGCACACACATATTTATACATATAACAGTATTTTATCCACAAAACTCGTAAAAAAAAAAAAAAAAAAAAAAACAAACCTTCGAGCTTTGCAGCGACGCGTGAATGTGACGAAACTTTGTATACAGAAGCGAAGCGTGTACCTTCGCACGTGCTTCCCGAAGCACACAGGCACGCTCTATACATTGCTTAAATTGTGTGTAAAATCCTCTCTTTTTTTTCTCTCCGCTCACCGCGAACATATCGTGCGCGCGTTCGCGTATCATTTTTTTTATCGAAGTATTTGAAAAATCACCACCCAAGCTTCGTTCTTTATTTTTTCCCTTTTTTGAAAAAAGTTTGGTGAAAGCGTATGTGTGTGACAACACTAACCGCTATGTGCGCGTTTGAAGAAACGAAGAGGGAACTTATTGAACACAATTTTGCAGTCAAGTTCGCGTCGATCGAATTAACGCGCCGAAAGAGAGAGAAAGAGCGAAGTATTGTAATGCGACTGTCGGTTCAACCGCTTTGTGATATTAATATTTTATTATTCGAAATAATTGCGTACATGTATATATATATATATATATATATATTTATATATATATATTATATATATACACACATGATAAGAATCTCTACAAAACAGGACAGGTAACATTATTTCGTTCTTTTTTTTTTTTTTTGTCACTTAGAAAGTAGCACAAGCGAGACGGGAAGAGCTTTTATGACAACGACAACTAAGTCGAGAATGATTTTGCGAAGCGGCTTTTTGTTCAAAGCAGCTCGGCTCCAATGCACAGTCGTGGCACACACGTTAAAATCGAGACATCGAATCGTTGCGAAATACGCACGACCGAGTAATCTGCAATTTTCGTATTATTATATCATACGCTAAAGATATCAATGGTATGTATGTGTGTGTGAGTAAACAGCGCAAACCGCACATTTAGTCATCACGGGCTTCGTTAGATTACAAAGAGAGAATTGCATTTTCTTCGAAATACATAAATATCATATGTATAGATAGCCCTGGTGTAATATATATGTTACCGTCATTTATATATATACATGTACATATATATACATATCATAATACAATATAACACTATATGTATATATATATACATATATATATATATATAAAAGATAATATAATAAAATATAATAATAAAATATAATAATAAAATACACACATTTTTGTAATCTAGTTGGTATCTTAAAGATCAAATTAAATCTGTTTGGTCTTCTATCTATATATGCGCGTTTGTATAATATAATAAATGTTCGTTACTTTCTTTTCTTCGTTCACGTAACGACCTCCACACGGTGTAACAATTTTAATTAAAAAAAAAAAAAAAAAAAAAATACAACAATGCAAAGATTTGAAATCTTCTCTTTCTGAAAGAACCAAGTTTCATTAAATTCTTGTATTGCTCGTTTTCACCGTTATATTACTCTTTTTTCTATACACAGTAATATAATTTGCATTTTCTTTCTCAGTTTGTTTCATTTTTTTTCATGTTCTTTATTACTAAAATAAAGAGCCACTACGATAAAAAAAAAACAAGATATAAGTATAATAATATTAATAATGAGATACTAATACTACTACTAATAATCAGTACAATGATAAAGATAATTGTGTGTATTGTAAGATGAAGATACTTGGTATGAGTTTTCTTTTTTTAATCGTTTTTTTTTAAACTCGAAGCACAATTCATATTACTGTTAAAAAATACACAATCAAAGTAGTCATTACAATATACATTACAGTTTTTTTGTATAATAATAATTAATAATATAATATATATATATATAATATAAAGTATACGTGTATTAAATTTATACTAAGCAGTTTCTGTTTTTTTTTTTGTTTTTCATCGACGATCAGTTTACAACATTAGGTGTGTATGTGTGTGCGTGTGTGTGTATGTATGTATGTATGTGTAAACGCATTTCCGTTTTTGTTGTAAACGTGTTTTATTAAGTAAAATAAAGGTAAAGATGTTTTTATCGCATGTGTTTTTCGGCTGGCAATCTCGATAGTTTTACGACTAGCTTCGTTACAGCTAGTTTCGCAATTCCATATTTTGTTTCGATAAAATTAAATAAAGAAAGACCACATGTAGAGTCGACGCGATTGTTGGTGCGTGCAAAATTTTAGTTCATTTTAATTCAATTTATCACACTCGATCCCGTGTCAAACCGGATCGTTATTCCTGGACAAAATAACCTGCAAGCATCATCATCATCTAAATGTTCGTGCGTCGTTAAAGTTCTTTGAAGGAAACGGCAATGTTTAAAAACCAATTCAATATGACAGTCTACCATATCCATGCAAATGTGCACGACGAGATTGTAAGGTACATTTATATATGTATCACAAAATTAAATAAGTTAATTGAGTCTTTCCTTTTAGAGTAACTACTTGATACTTTATTAGATATTTATCACGTTCGATACAAATTACTGAAAACAGGGGATTCTATTTTCTCATAAAACTACCATGTTCAAACGTAATACAGGTGCGTGATAATTATTTGCAAAAGTTAACACGTATGAGAGTTAAAGCTTTTATAATCTTTTACATTTGTGTGACTACCCTACGTATATGTTATTCTAACTTTATTCTTTGCTTAAAAAAAGAAAAAAGATTCAAAAAATAAAGTCAAAACGTTTGCGTCAATATTATAAACACAGTATCAATCTGCTGAGATGTTGTCAAATTAAAATAAACTAGAATTTCACGCACCAACAACCGCGTTGCCTCGACATGACTCTGTTTCTTTATTTAATTTTATTTAAATTTGTGTCTCTTTTTACATTTTTTTTTTTTATTGTTCCATTATTTCACCCGTGTTGCACCGGGTTCACTTGACATTACACCTTAAAGAAGCCTACATCTGCCCTTCTTCTTCTTCTTTACCTAGAAGTTTTTAAATTCACGTTAGTACAAACGATCAAATAAAAATAAATAAACAAAAAACCTGTTATTTTGAGAAAAAAGAATTTTGCTGAGTGCTTTCTTATGTGTTGGAGCAAAAATTAATTATTTTCCGAAAATTTTTAGGGAAGATATTAATGTAATAATTGAGACGTACTTGTAACGCAGCCCGAGTTGCCGTTTCGAAAACTTCCCTCACACCTTCCTTGCTCTTGGCGGAACACTCGAGGTAAGCAAAAGCGTTGATTTTCTCGGCCATAGCCCTACCCTCCTCGGGTTTGACTGGCTCCTGCTTCATCTTGCTGAGCTCCTTGATGGTGTTAGGATCATTGCGCAAGTCTTTTTTGTTTCCCACAAGGATAATGGGCACGTTCGGGCAAAAGTGCTTCACCTCTGGTGTCCATTTCTCCGGAATGTTCTCCAAGGAATCGGGACTGTCGATGGAGAAGCACATTAGAATGACATCCGTGTCTGGATACGACAACGGACGCAGCCTATCATAGTCTTCTTGTCCAGCTGTGTCCCAAAGAGCCAGTTCCACCTGTGAAACAAATAAAACTTTGTTTTACACCGAACTTTTTTCCTGCGAAGAAAAAACAAACACAAGGAAAACAAAACACGTTACCTGTTTGCCGTCCACCTCAATATCCGCGACATAGTTTTCGAATACTGTGGGTACGTATACTTCAGGGAACTGGTCTTTGCTGAACACTATAAGCAGGCATGTTTTACCGCATGCACCGTCACCTACAATAACCAACTTCTTCCTAATGGCTGCCATGAATCCTAAAAAAAATTCCAAAAGAATACATTTATTGATAGGTAGACGACGATAAATTTATAAAATGTACAATTTTGTTTGGAACGTTGTGTTTGCTTGCTCAATAACATTTATCACGTTTAAGACGTGTATGAATACTGATTAATATACAAAGCAAAACGTGTGATAGATAATGTGTTGAAACGCGTTGCAAGTTAGTAATAAATTTTACAAGTTGCAACAAGTCAATAATATATCTGCGTGAAACAAATTTTTCTTGTATTACACACATATGGAATACATTATATATTTACACTGTTCTTTTTTCTTTACCTAAGAGAGAGAGAAAGAGAGAGCGAGAGAGACTTCAACAGAAATGTATATTTTTAGCTTTAAAACGTAACTCGCACTTATCACAACGAGTTTTATTTACAAGAACGTAGACAATATTACCTCTAGGACATTTTCAACGATATTTTTTTGTCTCAAATAGATACTCCTTTACCAAAATTTGACTTACCCACTTTACAAACACTCATGCTAGCTTTGTTTTGATTTTTTTTTTTTTTTTTTTTTAAATTAATGCTACAATCAATTTTTCACTTCGCGTCGCGCGGTACTTGGTCCGATAATGTGTCCGATAACTTGTGCTTTTATCGCGTTTCTTCCTAACGATGACTCATTTGCACGAAGTACATCACCGTATATTAATGAATACCGTGTCACCGAGTACAAACGAATTTTTAACCAACCAATAACAATAATAATAATAATGTAACAATAGTGTTCATACCGCAACATTATCTACGATAAGGATTCTCAAGATGTTACGGGTGCAAAAGAGTAAACTTCTAAACCAATTTCAAATCCTTTTAAAGGCGTGTGTTTCACAAATGCCATGTTTAATTAAAGAAATACTTCACAACAGCCTACGGAAATAACAGCAAATCGATGTATATATATATATGTATAATATATATGTACAAAAAAGGCAAGATTGTTTTTTTTTTCTTTCAGTCTCAACTAGGTGCACGACACTGTACAGCAACGATACATTTAATTGATTCAAAACTAACTAAAAAAAAAAAAACCATGCGGTGTGTGATATGGATCTGCAATATGTACAATATGGATCACATACGCGAGACATTACAAAATATATATCGGAGGAGGAGGAGAAACACAGAGAGACGGCTAAAAAGAAATGGAGTTAGTATCGACACTGGTCTTGCATTTACTTCCCTCAGGTAGCGTCAGGTAAATTAGAGACACGAGCAGAAGAGAGAAAGAGAAAGAGAGAGATAGAGAGAGAGAGAGAGAAAATGAATCGGAGCAAAATTCGAAAGCATGTGAATACGAAAGAAATAACGAATATATCTATTATATATATATATATATATATATAAAAGCTAAGAAGCGTTTCTTTCGGGATAAAGTTGGGAAGAAGATGAAGGGGGTATAAACCTCTTTATGAAGAGATTGTGTGTACAACACGTGTTATATGTACAACTTTTCTTCGCGAAGCTTAATAAAACAGTCTCACGTTCAAACCTCGTAGGATATAATAGTTTTTTTTATTATTTTCTCCAAAGCTCTTTTCCTTTTTTTTATTTTTTGTTTACTTCAAGCCAATCTACGGAATGTGTTTCTTTCACAGGACATTTGCACAAGAAGTATCAGCTCCCCGGCTACTTATCCCGTTCGTCTCTACTATTTCATCTACGGATACATTTCCGCCACTACGTATGTACTCGGGTAAAATGTAATAATAAAAAGCAAGTGTGAGAGAAAAGAGACATCGTTCTAGGTTTTTTTTTTCCTTTTAAATCTCTCTCTAATATATATATATATACACACACGATCGCGCGTTACGAAAAAAAAAAAAAAAAAAACAAAAGCAGAAACCTACGAGGACTGAAATCTTAATGGATATTGACTATGGGTCGTACCTGATCCCGAATCGCCTGGACCGAGGCATCGGCCCGCATAGCATCCCATGTTTTTAGACTTTCTTTCAGCGTATCTGTTTTAAGGTGGACATTTTTATGTTAGACGTAGATAGGAAGCTGCTAGATGATCGCATATTATGGCCACACAACAAATATTAATATGTATATAAAGTACATATTCATATAACAATAATAATAATAATAATAATAATAATAACAACAAATGCGTACGAGTCTCGTGTTTTCACTGAAAAAATTCAACACATTAAATATATAGTAAATATCACTTTTCCTTGCATATTTAAGTATTTATATAACAGTTTCTATATATATATATGTATATATATATATACATATATATGTTACATTATTTCTTTTGTAACTCTCTTTTTCTTCTGACATTTTAAATACAAAAATTACATACACATGTGTGTACCGCGAGGTGTTTCCTCGCCAGAACTTGACAATTAAAAATATATATCAATCGCTTTTAAACTATTTTACCTGATATCGTGGTATATGTACATGTTTTTAAATAAAAAAATATAGAGCGAAGTTTGTTTGTTGTGGCTACGTATAACAACGGGTCTCTTTGATAATATTTAAGATCTAAAATCACACTTATAGTAATATTAAACGATTTCCAACTGGTATACCCATATGTAGCCAAGTTGTTTGGAATTTCATATGAAACAACTACTCTATTTGCATTAAGATGAAACAATAAATTTTTATATATAGATCAACACATGCAAAACAAAGAGAGGAGATATGAGAAAAGATCGCTAGATTAATCGTTATTTATAGACATGCAGTATATTGCTATTTGTGTGTATGTGTGTGTGTGTGTGTGTGTGTACCCATTGATAAATATAATGAAAGACCGCTTGGTAGACAGAAAAATATAAACTGAATGTACATTTGTACATCACACTATGTACAAACAATAGTGTGTGCTAAGATCTCACAGAGACAAAAATTTATATTTGCACATCTGTTTTGAGTTTGAGGAAATTGGACAGTCCACAGCGGAAGAGAGAAAGAGTTGTAACAATTGAGAGTTGAGAATCAGGAGAAAAGTGCTGACAAATAACAACAATCAAAAGAAAAAGCTCATTACAAGAACGTTAATTTCTACACAAGTATATAGAAAACATTGTGATATTAAATTTGTGTATGTGTGTGTGTGTGTGTGTGTGTGTGCGCGCACATCTTTTCCAACACAATCACTGTGGAGAGATGGATCGTAAATAGACATTTCAACTACACGAAAGCAAAGAAGCTTTGATGTAGCCCAAAATATACAAAACACAGTTGCTAACACATATCACTTGTTGTCTCGACAGAGACCAAGTTATATTGTTACATTGTCATCCATAACCCGTAAGAGAAACTCGAAACAACTTCTGATATCGAGAGGATCGTGTGTTGGAAGTTCCGCGATCCTGTGATCATTTTCGTCGAAACTAAATGGAAATTTCTGGAAACGCGATAAACACAATAGGAACAGACACCAAGAAGACGTACAACTACTATCACCTCTGATGACCTCCAATCTTAGTTGCGAGGCGTCTTTCGCGAAGACGCTGCTCTGTTAGATTCGTCGGGCACTTGTGGATTTCACGAGTTTTTCATTCAAAGTGTGTCGCAGACGTTGGAAGAAGGTGAGGAAGGAAGCAATGTAGAAAATGCGTTCACAAATTTGACGAAGCGGTCTATCTCGTCCAAAACCAAGACCGAACTAACCTATACCTTTCTCCGCAACGAAGATAGTGCGCATCGGCCAAGGTCGAAGAGCGTAAAAAGAAGTGCGAGAGAGATAGAGGAGGGAGGGAGAGACAGACAGAGAGAGAGAAAGAGAGAGAGAGAGAGAGAGAGAAAGAGAGTAGGGAAGAGTGCGTGGCGCGGAGATACTCAGGACGCTATCGATGACGTGAGTGCCGAGAAGACGCTAACGATGACGTGAATTCTCGGTGAAAAATTCACAGCTATATTATTGGATATATACCGCTGATATATTGCGGGCGATCCGCACGCGTTTCGCCCGCTCGTGAAAAATTTCGTCTGAAAAATCATCCGTTGTTTAATCTTTCCGACGCAAGAGATAAGGATTACATTACACAAAGTGTAGAAAGTACAATAGTAAGCAACAGATCTCCGGGAATTGTGTCAAGAAACACGCGCTTGCTCTCCGTTTCAACTTTCTTTTCGATTTCCCGGACACTCGATTGGTTTTTTTTTTTTTTTTTTTTTTTTTTTTTTTTCACGAAACGAATTTAGATTCGACGCACAAATGTCAAATTGTTTTTTTTTTTTTTTTTGTTCCTCTACAAACGCGCATCTCGCGCGCGCGTAGGAAAACGGAGCGCGAACGCGCGTGTAAATAAAACGGGAAAAAAAAAAAATCCCCCAGACGCGCGAAGTCGGCGCTGCTCCCGGCGATGCTGTGTGTGGCACACACGTCGAGAGTGTGTGCGAACGAGTCACGTCAAAAGCACGCACTCGAGAGAACTCGTGTTTACCCCGCAGATTTTCCCCCCCGGGAGTAGCTGCAATCACGTCGATCAAAACTCGATCGGAGCCGCTGTCTCTCCGTCCGTTGACGGAGAGACAACGTCGTCGATCGTTTTTGATCGTCCGCTGTGTGATTGTCCGCCGGGGGAGGAGGACAATGGGAGACGTTTTTTTTTTCTTTTCTTTTTGTCTCGCGAAAATCTCTCGCCGGACATGCAATGAGACGAGACGAGACGAGACGAGACGAGGCGGAGGCGAGAAAGCGTGCGAGGAGAGTCCGTTTCGTTTTTTCTTCTTCTTTTTTTTTTTTTTTAACCGCACTCTTAAATATTCCTCCTCCTTGTTGCTCCGAAAAAATTGCGTCCGAAAAACGTGCGGAGGAATGTGCGCGACGGTGCTGACTTGAAAAAGCAAAACAGACCTCTCTCGCCAGGAGGAAAAAGGGATGTGAAAGTATTCGGCGTGCGAGAGTGCATGGCGCGTAACAGCGAGTATAAGGATATATATCATGGGGGAGTCGCCGCGAGGAAGAGGAAAGGTTTTTTTACCACCTTGTGGGGAAGTGGAAAGACGTCGGTTATTATCATTTTTTTGGGGGGTTTTTTTGTTTTTTACTTACTGGATTAAGACCGAGACTACGTAGTGCTAGAGCGGACCGGAGAGCATTCCAAGAGATTCGTCGTGCGGATATCGCTCAGCGACACACAGTCGATGAAACAGGAGGATGGAGAGCACGGGCGTAGCGAACGCGTAAAAACTTTCAATTGCAAAAATTGCGCGCGCGTTTGCGATTAACGCAAGTTTGTTTAGCCGAGAACTCGGTTCGAAGCACGCCTTGCTTGCTGCCACGCGACGATGCCGACGAGCGGACGAGATTCGCGACGCATGGCACTCCCTCGGGGACCTCGCGCGACGTTCGTTCGTTCGTTCGTTCGTTCGTTCGTTCTTTCTCTCCCTCTCTTGCGCTCTTACTCTCTCTCTCTCTCTCTCTCTTTTTCTTTCTTCCCCGTTTCACTCGCGCGCACACACACGCACGCACACACGCACACTCTCTCTCTCTCTCTCTCTCCCTCACTCTCTCGGCTCGCGGAGGCTTTTTTCTCTTTTAGCACCGGACACCCGGTCCAACGTCCTGGCGTAATCTTTAACGCGGCCGATCACGCTCGCGATACCCGCACGCACGGCGCACCACGCATCCTCACACTACTCCGGTTGGCGTTAACTTAAGATATAATTACGTATTTACCTGAAATCTTAAGAGACAGAAAGTCAAGAAAATGGCTGCCCTCGATGGCCACACCTCGATCTGTAGATTGTCGGCAACACGGTGGCGGTGGTGGGAGAAAGAACGGCGGCGGTGTCGAGAGAGACTGTCCCGGCAGGTGCGTGCGAGCGCGTCCGTAGCGCCCCGCGTTCGCAGAGGAACTTTGACGTTTCTCTCGAAGAACTTGGGTCTCGCAAAATATTGCGCGCACGTGATTTTACGCAATCGCACGTCGAATTACGAACACGTGTTCTCTTCTCGCGCCGAGTCACGAACTCGTCGTCACCACTCGCATCACCGCGACAATAAAATTCCCGATGCGATAAAAAAAAAATTATTGTTACGCGTTTTTATTTGTCCACGATATCGCGTCCCGGCCGACTCCTCGAAAGCACGTTCCGGATATCGGCGATTCACGCGCCACTTGTGGCACGTCACGAATTTTCGAGGAATTAGTCATCGCGTTGGAATTTGCCAATTGGCGTCGGTCGATCGGCCGAAATGGCCAACCGCACTTAGGCCTCAATCGAGATCGAATTAGAACCCAACCAATCGGAATAGAGAGAAAAGCTAGACTCCAAAGTGTAAGCAAACCTCGTCCCAATTGGTCAAGTTCCAATCTCAAATCTCGATCCACAGTCGATGGATCCGAGCCTTAAAAAATCTGTCTCTAATTCTCTCCTTTTCTTCGAATACTCGCAATTTACAAAGCAACAAATTTGTTTATTTTACATACGCCCTTTGAAACAACAAGAATCAATGATTTCGTTGTATAAATAAATCTATGCGAATAGAATTTTTGTGGCACTCTTTTATCAACGTATATGTGTGTGTGTGTGTGTGTGTACGCGCGCACGTGTGCGCCGTTATCAATATTACTCACAACTAAAAACAGAAAAAGTAGGGAACCGGGAGGAAAGGGGAAATTTCAAGCGGCACGATTTTAAACTTCAAGTAGAGTTGTAATCAGTAACTAGTCTATAAAACAAATTCTATATGTAGAATACGTATTACATATCATCGTTTCAAATATGATGAAATATATGATGAAATATATGATGGACTGATTTTTTGGGAGAGATTTGCAAATTTTTCGTTTTTTTTTATGATAATTTTTTTTTTTTTAAAGTATATTAACTAACTTTCCTAATTATGAGTGGGGAGAAAAAAAATCAGCCATGCTTAGAATAGAAAGATCGTTTACACTTATCACATGATTAGTCGGATTATTTTTTTTAATTTTTTTGCGGCGGCTCCGGATTTTCACTGGAATTGCCGCCCATTTGTCGTCTCAACGACTCGATCAGCTCGGGATTTGCGTTCTGCATTTGCTGTGCCAACTGTTGACCTCTGGAAAATATTTGGACAAAAGTAATACACAAATAAATAAACTGCTGCCGAGCTAACAATAATGACAATTGATGTTAGCGCGTTCTCACATTTAATTAAAAAAATTGACAAAAACGCTTACGCTTCTATGAGCACGTCCATACGTCCGCTTTCTTCCACATTGCCAGACATGAGATTGCACATCATATTCTGCATATTCGGATCTGATAACATTTGACGCGCCATGTTCATTAAAGCGGGATTGCTCAGAAGAGCGCTCAAGTCCATGCCAGTCAGATTGTGGAGACTCTGATTAACACCTAACTGAGCCAATCTTTCTTCCGCTAAATGCAAATTGTTTCGATAACTCTCGTTGTCGGGCTCCATCGCCAAAGCCTTCTCGTAGCTCTCTTTCGCTTCTTTATGCCTCTCTAAACTAGAATACGCTAAACCTAGCCGGCCGTATGCTTTGCTGTATGTCGGATCAATAGACAACGCGGTGTGACAGTCTTTAATGGCTAGGGTGTGATTACCAAGTTTGCTGTGAACAGCTGCTCTATTGCAATAATATACCGCATTATAACCATCCAGTTGTATCGCCCTGTTGGGAAGAAACGCAGAATTAAATCAAAAATATATTTGAAAATGTTTTTGAAGACAGAAATTAAAGAAAACCTCAAATTTTTATGCGCAAACGTACTTCGTATAATTGGCAAGTGCTTCGTGATGTTTCTCTTGCTTCATGAGCAAATTCCCTTCGTTCTTCAATCTCTCAGCTTCGGCTTTTTGTTCGGGTGTTGCTTTTGGGCCTAGATTTGGCGACGCGTTGTCCACCACATTCTTATAAACCTGGTACAAGTTGAAATTTGCAGGAGCATCTGAGGCTTGCACATTGTAAGCACTTTCCAGACACTGAATCGCCACTTCCAAACTCTCGCGGGAATCTGCACTTATATCTCCATCTTGCAACTGATCAGTCAAGAACTGGACAATTGCTGACACTAATCCCTTGACAGCCATCAGTTCACAATGGAGTATAGCTATTTAACAGCTATTCCTGTAGATATTATTTTGGTAAACGCTTACATTAGACGCAATCGTCTATATATATATCTATATATCGAATGTCATCGTACAATTCAAAGTGTCATCATACGAATGAAGAAATACGAGTAAATCTCAACGCACGCGCTAAAAGCCAATTCAAATATATTAAAACGCGCAATTCTCATACACAGAGACGTGAATAGTTGAGAAATACCGGACATGACATACAACATAACTATCGTAAATTTTGCGCAAATTCATCATTGAACGACATAACCAAAAATTTATGTTTTTAAAAAAATTGGGACAGGCCTGAAGAAATTATTTTGCAAGATAAACTACGATCTTTTGTTCGCAACATCTGCTGGTGTAAACACGCTGTAATTATCTATTTAATGCGAGAAAGTGCGTTAATTGTGTAATGTAAGTGAGACAGGTGTAATATGCGCGAACGCGAACGTGACACGAATAAAGCGCAATATATTGAATATTTGTTATAAAAAAGGGCGTTAAATCTTCAAATATATCGTACTTTTTTTTTTCCAAAAAATGAAAGCGAACACAGATCGCGGAAAACAGATCAGTAATAATAACCTTCCTTCCTTTTGGAGCCTACGCACAACAACGTCACAACGCGTACATACGGTGCAGCACAGTGCAGTTGTGCGTTGTTCTACAATTTTCCGCAATTCAACGAGCAACAAAAGATGGATCGACAACTGCGCGTGAGCGGCGGGTCAACTTGGCTGATCGACCGATTGGTCACGAGATGTGCCACCCGTATAATACAAATTTTATCGCAAAGAAGAAAAAATCTCATGTGATACAACACGATTTATTTGACACCTTTTCCTTAACAATATTTTCACTTTAAAAAAACGAGATATACATACACCTACATGTATAAATTTTTTTTTTTTAATAAAACTACTCATTGAGATATACAGTAATATATATATATATATAGAAATTAAACTTCTAAACCTTTCACCATGTAGACACATTAATTACTAATGTATTTTACATAATACATTGTTATCTGGTTCATATTTTTTTTTCATCCAAAAATCTTAACAAAACATCATACTATCGAAGTAGAATGTAACATTACGAGATTTCATATAAATCTCCGATTAACTTTTAATCGAAGAAGCAAGCTTAATCGAAGATCCCAACATATTTGAAGATTTTTTTTCAAGTATGTAACATCGCTATAAGAACTTCCAAATAAATATAGCAAAAAAAAACAAATTAGTTACATAGGGGAGTAAATTTCGTACTGATATTTTTTGTACTTAGATATGAGCCACTTATGTAGAAAAGTTTTTTTTTTTTTTTTTTTTTTTAAATTTCCTTACATCAAACGCGCGTGCGAGAAAGCATAGCTTTCTACTACATGTAACCGATACTATTGCGCTTCTGTTTGAACAGATTCTTTCTCAAGGACATAGACATTCGATTGTCGTTTATGCTGCTCGTGGAAATTCTTCTGGGCATTGAATTTCTGCTGATACAACTATCCGTTAACTCTTGCATGCTAGTCGACAAGTCGTTCTCCTTGTCGTCAACGTTGAACATTTTCTCCGAAATCGGCGTTTCAGAACGCAATTTGTTGAACGAATCGATCCAATGTCTTTTTTTATGTCCATCTTCCGTGACGAAGGAAAATTCTCCGACCTTGAAACCGACTTCCGCGGTGTTCTTGTCATCCGCCACGTGTACGCGTTCCCGAGGAACGACAGGAAAGGAGAGATTGTATTTTTTACTAACACGTCGCGTAGGACGAGTTATCGCGAAACAAGTGTTGAAAAGAAAGCAATGATATTTCTGAAAATTAATTATCATGTTAGATTTGCTGATTAAGCGTAATATCTTGTTGTGAAAATAAAACTTACCACTCCGCGCGTATCTTTTAGCTGACCTTCCGTGATCAACTCCGTGGCGTTGGCCACATATTTTTCAGGATCGTAATCCGTTTTAACATTTATTTTCGACTGAGCGAGCTTGCACTCGGCTTCGCCCATGATGCAATCGATGTCCTTCAGCAAATCGGACAGTATTTTGCTCGCTTCTTTCAGCGGCAAATAATCGACATCGGAAGCAGGCGTGTACTTTATGATTTCCTTTACCAAGATTGGATACTTGACTATTCTGGAGCGCGGCACATCCAAATAAGTCCACAAGTCGATTGAATGCGGAGATTCCAAGCGTTTCTTCAGAAATGATTGAAATCTTTTATTGGTGAATTTCTTCTCGTCTAGTAAATGCCTCGCCCAAACCAACGTTCTGCATCTTTCCAGATATGGTTTCCTTAACGTCGCTAGCTGCATAATAATGAGATTAACATTAAATATATATACTGATAAAATATTTTTGTATTATGTTTGAATGATATAATAAAGGAACTAACCCAATTTAACAATGTTGGACCCACGCTTTTTGTGAATCCAGATCTGTCACGTAGTTTAAGCAACTCATCTCTCAGATTACTGTGTATCTGAATGAGATTTGTGAGATCACCAAAGAGAGTAAATAATTCTTCAGACGTGAAGATTTCAGTAGACAACATGGGCTCGTAATAGAAGTCCCGCAGTATGTAGAGTTCATTTAGTAGCACATTTTCGCCGCAGTACAGCTCATAAATTGCTTCCTGTCTTCTTACTTCGTTTTTATTTAATACACCGTTCAAGGGTTCTTTGCCAAGCGGTTGAGCAATGTCCAACATCCAGCTCTTGATTGTTAAGTTGGTACAGCTCTCAGTAACATTCTTTAGTCTTGGAAATTAGAAAAATAAAATATAACACAAATAGCAGTAGGTATAGGTAGATATTACATACAGAATAATAAATTACTTTTTGCTTAATGTTGTGGTATTTGGCTCGTTCTCCATGATGGACAAATCTGACATATTTGGTTGAATACTGAAAGATCTGTGCAGAGTATTTCCTATTTTACTCGTGCTAGTGGAAGAGAATATGCTGCTAGCAACTTCTGTGAATCTGCAACGTTTCTTTTTTCTCAATGTGGAATCCAAGGATATGTCCATCGAGCTGATGCTCATCACATCGCTCTTGGGCCGTTTTCTCGATCTCTGGTGACACACAATATGACACAAAACATGTTTAAACTTGACGTTTGACAAAAATAATTCTACCAGTGTTTAGCACGTGACTTTGAGCAATGTAAATAAATGTCAACGCTAAGAGAAGCCATACATGACATCAGCGCTTTAAAGTTTCAACAATTACGACGTCCGAAAGAGTGAAAAGAAAAAAAAACCGTTCGGTTTCACTGACAGTAATGACATAAGTGACATTGACGTTCGAATGTCTGTTACAATCTAGATTGAGTTGTAAAAAGTGTTAATTTTGCGAAACGCAGACAAATGCGTCGAGACTCACCAGCCAGAACCTTTTTCGCGGTTCCTGGAACGTCTCTTTGACCACATTGCAGTCATCATCCATGTTATCTTTTAAATTATCAAAAGATCAAGTCGTAAACGTATTTAAACGCTGCAACAACATACACGACAACTATTTGTATATCTAACAACAAACTCGAATGAACTGCACATGCGCGAGAGCGATACCAACCTATCGTCCCGGATGTAAGACATGGTGTATCATCCCCGAGATGCGCAATGTTTGACCAATCAGAGAGTTGTTTCACGCATTGAGACGAAAGAATATTTAATAACAATTACATTTTTGTAACTTTTAAAATTTTGTTATTCTAATTTTACAACAAAAGCTCTAAGGTTTTTGTGTGCAAAATTTCATTCATTTTCTATGATTAATGTAAGAGATACAATTATTTTTCGCTGAAAGTCCAAGCGAGCGGCGGCCGAGAAAGCCGGCCGCTACGGGCTAAATTTCAGATTTATTACCAGGATCGCAGAAAGTGGCAGGAGCTTTACCAGGAGCTAGCTGACTCGGCCGGTAAGTTAGAGGTATTAGGAAAGTATAAGTTGAAGTAGGTGGCGCTAAATTCCCGCCGGTAATATTCTCGATCGATAACGTAGTGGTATTAGGAAACGATAAGTTGAAGTAAGTGGCGCTAAGTATCCGTCGGTAATGTTTACCGGTAATTTCCAGCCGATAAATTCAACTTTCTTATCAGGATCGCAGAAGGTAACAAGAGCTTTGCTATCGTAGAAGTGAAACTGACTCAGCCGATAACTTAGCTGTAGCAGAATAGTATAATTTGAAGTAAGTAATGCTATACGTCTGCCGGTAATATTTATCAGTAAATTCCAGCGGAAAAATTCAACTCTCGTAACAGGATCGCAGAAAGCGACAGGAGCTTTGCGGAAGAGGTGTAGAACGCTCGTGGTTCGAGTTTTCGCCATAGACATATAAGAAATAGACTGCGCGTCCCGTATCTTTTCTGTGCAGAAAGAATGGTCAAACTTCGGACGAGGATAGATGCTTTCACCCGAGTCTCTATCCTTGTTTAGTGACGCGGTGATTGGCGGACAAGAAAAGTAGTAGGAATGAGAAATAGCGTAGTGGGGC